GTGTATGTCTCGATTCGACGATTTGCGTGTCTTCTACGCGGCGAGAGAAGTAAATCCATAACGTAATATCACTAATTTAAGACGAACGTTAAACGCAGCGACGGTGAAACCATATATATATAAAAAAGTATATATATATATATATAATATTTAGAAATAATATATTTCATAATGAAAGATATCGTTTTTTTGTAAAATCTACTTTATCCACTCATGAAGTATTGTGTGAAGGTATGTATTTGGAGAGCACTCTTTATCCCGCTTGAAGTTTCCGATCGTTCTACGGTTACCTTTGGCGAATGATGCTTCAATCCTTTCCAGAGACTATCTTTCAAAACGATCACGAGTTTCTTCGTTATCTACTTATACAACTTCAAAACGATCCGATTCTTTAGATCTCTACAGATCTCACAGTTTTGCAAATTACACGGAATCATTTTGGTAGATACATTCTCAACGCTTTGAGCTACGAGAAAATACGAAAAAAAAAGAGAGAAATCGATTTTTGTTTTCTCGATTTTCTAGATTATAGACGCATAATAATCGAATGAGTCGGTTGGTGGATAAGATTAGGGGTATTCAAAGATAGCGTGTAATTTTTGTGCGCCCATTTCTCGTCCGTTGCGTGAAGAACTTCCATAACAAAGGCGTAAGTGCGCATTAAAGTCCTCATTAACGTTTGGAATTTTTTGTACCTTCACATTTCAACCGCAACATTGTTCTGATCTTCGACACGCAATTAGTATAGGTACCTATAAGACTGAAAAATGAAACGAAACGAAAATACCGGCGAAACGGATGTCTTCTCGCGATCGGCTACCATGTTTTTCCTGTCTCGTTCATCGCTTCCCTTCTCTCCTCCTTTCTCCTGATTCCCGTTTACTATCTCTTCTCTATGCGCGCGCGAGAAATTGCAGGTTGATTCGAGAAACGATCATTGAGATTTGCCCGGCAATTTTGGACTTCTTGCCATGCGTACCGAGGGACAAAACTACGACACATCTCAACTATTTATTTAACGAGTTAGGCGTAAAATGATTGACCATTGTCTCATCTCTCTTCAATTCAACGGGATTTTATACGTATATATATATATTGTGAACGAAATTACGCAAAATAGGTTTGTTAAAAAAGTAGCACGCTGTACAAAAAATATGAATGTTTAACTATATTAAACATGCGTTTACAGAAATACCTGAGAAACACGTTTATACCTTCCTTGCCTTCTTTCTTTTCGCATTAGCCTGCGCCACGCATGAAAGACGTGACGTTGTCTTGTTAGAATAATCTTGGTTCTATCAGCGGGGTTCCGAAGATATTGGCTGCCAAGTACTTACTGGTTCGTATTATGCATTATGTAAATACACGATAATGTAAGTACACGCTACACATTTTCTTGTCCTTTAGTTGTACGTAAAGGTGGCAGAATAGAGAATGAATTATTATATGCAGAGTAAGTCATTCAACCGCGCCATCTAAATTTATTTGTAAGTTATATGTCGTGTAACAAAAATGTTCCAGACGAAGTTTATTCGGTATTGATCGAACTATATTTTGGTCAATCGTAATTTCAACCCTTGATGCCAAACAACTTCTGCCTCGAACGTATTTTGATCCAACAAATGAAGGTTGGCGACACGATTGTACGACTCATTCTATATGTATAGTCCATCGTCCAAAATAAATTGTCTGAATACTCTACCCACGAATAGTTTAAACGGTGGAATCAGGTGAATCACCTTTACAACGTTGCGCCAGTTTCGGAAGACGATTATTATGCGCAAACTTGCATGCTTGATGCGGAAACACATAAATACACTCCGGATGCTTATGCAAATTCTCGTTTTTCGAAGCCGATTACGGAAACAGGAATCAAACAGGAGTTTCCTTGCCTCGTCAAGGATTTCGTAAGATTAAAAGTAGAATGGAATTTGAATCGTTGAAGATGATTAAACTTTTCCATACGACTGTGTTTCGCGCGTTTGCATATATCATAGATTTCGAAACTTCTAACGAATAGCTGGATACATTTCGAGCGATGCACGGATTGTCTGTAACGATTGGCTTCGACTGGAAAACAGTCCCATCGTAAAAGACAATTGTGAAAGTGGCACAGTCGGATATTTTTTGTTGCGCTATTGTTGAACGGTTTTACGGTGTGAGCTTACTTGTTCTATTTTTCCTCTTCCGCAAACCGAACGACCCGTTGGGATACAAGAACGTTTGAAGGCTCGAGCACGCCACAAGTTGGTCATCGTTCATATTAAGTTCGCACGGAAATGTATCTCGGGTATTCGAAATCTCAGGATTTCCGATACTCTTATCTGCGTGAGATATATTCGGGATCTTGACCTGAATATCCGGTATCCGTGATTTCAGCTACCCCAAATCTCCGGGAGATCCTCTTAATTGCTTATGAATCCCGGACCATTTGCAAATTAGCACTTCTAATTCTTTATAAGCTTTCTGGCAGAGGATATCTTTCACGTGAAATCCAGTTGAAGACGTAAAATTTAAATATTCGGGACACGACACGATGTATTGTGTTCCATTTGATAATGAACTAATATATTCGTAGTTTACGGTAACGATTTTCGATTCGGTAACTGATTTATTTAACTTCATATTTGTTTCTGTTCCTTTTTAGCTACGGAATTCGTTGAAATTTAAAAGAGAACTTGCTGAACTTGATAGAAGATTGTTTCGTAATTGATACTTACGAAAGTACTTTTGTTTTTTTCTTATCAATTCCAATTTTCATATATTCTCGAGGAACACGAGACGCGTGCGATCAGGTCTATGAATTTTAAATTAATTTGGTTTGCGATTCTTTATAAGATTTGGACGAGGAATCATTCATGTATTTTTATTTGAACATATTTCGCAAGTTATTGCTCGTAAATGATACAGCTACGTTGTTTTACGCGCGAAGATCCTATCGAAAGATTCATATTTAAATAAGCTGCGAACCTGTGTTTCATCGTAGAATATAATATGGATAATTGAAGTTTTTCTCTAAGGTTGAGAGCTGGGAACGAGTTCCGTCATAGCTCTTATCGATTGTCGTTTGTCAGGAAGAAAATTGCTCTCATAAATAATAACGGTGAAGAGGAGCACTCTCGACGTTGCGGGAGTATGAACACTGTCGCTAAATTTTGTGGAATTATTATAAGACGTTATATAAGCTCGTGCAGCAAACCCATGATAACAATAGCTGTTATAACGAAGATAAGAATACAAAAATTGATTCTCTCTTGTGCTACTAATAATGAAAAAAAAAGAATGTGATCATCGCTAATATGATCTTCCTTGAAAATGAAAGAAGCGAAATATATTGAACAAATTTGATTTACCCCGATTTTAGTCTTACTCGTGCGTGATTATAAACTTTATCGGTTAAACATGAAGTTTTTATGCCTTCAAATGCATGAACTTAATGCATTAAGAAGTTCGTACGAAAAGTTCTGTGTGATAAATCTACCGGAGGATAAAATAAAAGTTTTTCGTGCAATGTTTTACTAAATTATCAGTAATTATATCGAGATAACTTTGACAAGAATAATGGCTAATTGTTACATTACAGAATAATAGTTTAGAAATTAAAAAGTCGTGGTTTATCACCAGCTGACTTTCTTCTGTAATATTCCGCAAAGAAACAGTCTGTTTCGTTAGAAGTTTCACGACTTTCGTAGTTTAAGCTGGCCACAGTAAACCTAGAGAGACTGTGGGCGAATTAGTGGCTTTATCGTTTATTACGAGCTGATTACACATACGTAACAAAACTTTTCATGCTGTTAGAAGTTTAACTTATACGTACCTTGTATTTTCATTAATAAATCCACCGCGACATTTTCATAAATTAATATTACATATTTTTGTTGTTTATATCATTAAAAGCAAACGTACCGCGTATCTATGCAGGCCTTTAATTACTTTATCCGCAGGGAATATACGCTGCCCGGGATGAATATCATTAATTCTATTATCGATTGTATAGCCCACAGTAGGATATAAAATACATAATAATTCTGCTTTTTAAATTTCATATTTTCCCGCAAACATATAAAGCAACATATGTTATATAGCGTACTGTAATTCTAATCTAAGAGTTAGTTGTGGTTCTCTGGAAAATGTCGGTTTTTTAAAAGGAAAATACGAACCGTTCCATTTTACAGTTATTTCATTAAAAAAGATCCTAGCTATACACAACGCATTGCTTTTAATTATTTATAATATGCTCGGCACAGAATATAAAACGTTTGTACGATTCTCAGTGAAGTAGCAGCATCTTGTGAGCCTACAGCATTGAGTATTCCTGACCGACTACCCTATTTCGTTCAACTCCTTCGTACTGAGATTGAGGAACATCGTTCATGATGTTGTATTAATACTTTAATAGTGCCTCTTCGCCGTGGAAATATTTTCGCGACGATTTGAAAAGGATTTGTTAAGTAATTCTGTATAAAATTAATAAACTGACATTTAGTAAATTCAAACATTATCATTCGTTACTTTTCATGGGAGAGAACGTGTTTTCTAAATGTTTGAAATTACAAACGGAACGAGACACCGCATCGCAAGTGAGCACGTATGCGTAGCAGATGTGGAATTAGCTTACGTATTGGGTGTCTTGAAAATATGTGACACCGTTAGAGAAACGATCACCTCATGAGAACTCATTTAGACTCTTCAATTTGGTCTATATAAATTCTACGATCGTCTGAACGCAGATCTAAGAATGTTATAGATTCTTAACAGTAACATTGCTTTAGAGACGCACCGTTAGAGAAATGATCACCCCATCAGAATTCATTTAGACTCCTCAATTTGGTCTATATAAATTCTGCAATCATCTGAACGCAGATTCAAGAATGTTATAAATTCTTAACAACAACATTGCTACGTATAACTACCGCGCCACGTTCGTAGACTAAATCACAAGTAAAACAGATTCCTATAGCAATCGATAAATTACATATTAAAAAACACCATCCAACAAAAAAACTCAATTATCATGCTACCAAATAATACCACAAATCATTCAGGTTAAAGAAAATCGCGTCAACCCTTCGTCAAGCTTTCCGTTTCATTACCAGTATCGAACTTCCATCGTTTAAATACGTCTTGATACTACTTCCAAGTACCATTGTAATTACATTGTAATTATCGTGCCCCAAGAAACTTTCCCGGCCTTATGACACACGTTTCGCAACTCGGCGGCGAGTGACGGGCGTGTAACAGCGCTCAACGGGGACACGATCAGGTGCAGTGGAAGGGGAGCGTAAGAAGATTTTCGTCGAACGAAAGTACGATCGCAATAATCGGTTCGCGGTGTCGCGGGGATCCGTACTGTCTTGACGACGTTTTCCGTCGATTTTCCGCATCTGCGTTGTTCTTCTCATTCTCATCGTGTCAAGTGCTTTGCGTGCGCACTGCGCTCGCCGTGGAACCCGTAGGGGTTGGGAGGTGCAGTCGGGATGCTGGTCGCCTGTACGTTCGGCTCCGGTCGGCCGCGCTCGGCAATCTCCGTGGATCTCTGCGGGGGCAGAGGCCTCCTTCCCTTCCGAGCAACTCCACAGTGTTCACACTCCCGCGTAGGTGTGCGGCGGTACGTGCGAGTTTTATTTCTTCGTCCCGCGGTACGAGTGACGACGGGGTTACGTGTTCGTGACAGTCCCCTTTAAAATAAAAAATAAAAGGGTAATTAACGCGCCTGGCGGAGAACCGAGCCTCGCTTGCCCGGATAGAATCACCTTTATCCCGGGGACCGACAGTCTCCCGTAAGTTCGGTTACCTCGGACAGCAGTGAAACGTGCATGGAAACCGGCGAGGAAAAACGGATGATCGTTGACAACGACGGCTGTCCAGGAGCCTACGAGCACGGACGTGAAAGAAAATATCGCAACGATACGCGCGACGTCCCAGTGAACCGACTACCAGGCTCCGATGAATGAATGAATACCTTGTGCGCCGCGACCATCGTGCTCCTCTTGACAGTTCACCTGTTACAACCCGGACTCGCGGCCACCGTAAACCTAACCCTATTCGCGACTGTTCGATTCCCCCCCATCCAGTGTGTTTGATCGTGAACTTGTGTTGACGGCGTGCGACGTCGTGTTTATTGGATACCGATACCATCCACCGTACACATACGTGGCGAGCCCGCGTGTTACTCCGGCCGTGAAAAGTGTGGAAAACGGCGGCACAGTGCGAAGGACTGGAGACTCGTCCAGCTCGGCAGAGTGCGTGAAACGGACCGACGGGGAATACCTGTCGTCTCTTGTGACATTCGCGGAACGCGCGCGCGGGGAGGGGGGGCACGGACCGTCCACGAAATATCCAACGACTGTAGTCGGCTCGATCTTCGATTCGATCGATCAACTCGATCCGCGGGACACGGACGTGTCGGGCCGGTGCGAGTCCCCATCGATTACGAGACGGTCCCATCGATCGCGGTATCGGCGTTCATCGCGTCGTGATTTCGCGCCAAGGATTACTCGGTCCCCAGCCGATCTCTGTTTCGAGGATAACTAGGGAGAGAGACGTTTCGTACCCCGAGGGGAAGGATACATACTCACGGACGCGAGTCCCTCACGGCGAAACTTGTTACGCTTTTGTGATGTATGCTCGAGAGTTCGGCGAGGGCTTTCCGAGTGAAATCGTCGACTGAAATACCGGGGGAGAAGCGGTGGTATGTACTTTGCGGCGGCTGCTTCTTGAACGCGACGGAAAGGTTAAGGGACCGATCGATTTACCGTGGAAATTTTCGAACAGGTTCTCGACACCCAGCGATCTCGGTCGCCGTGCCTATACGAACGAGCCAGTGACAGTAGAGCGTGAAGTGACCAGGTGTTTTTGGTTTTTCTATTTTTTCCTCGTTTCGTTGACCGTTTCCCGCCCACGGAAATACGTTCGCGATTGTATGAGAGTGGACCCCTGTGTTCACGCGCGTTCCCATCGTGTCCGGTGTACTCATCTATGCTTGTGTAGCGGACTATCGAGCCGACCATGGAGGACCACGGAATCAAACCGTTGACGATGAGGCTGATCCTGTTTTTCGTCGTGCTGTCAGCGACGACCCTCGTGAAAGGTAAGCGGCTGATGCTTCATCGACGATTCTTAATTCGCGACGAGAACCGTCCGCGTATCGGTTTTATGATTATTTCGGGACGGAGTATCGAAAACCGTTTGAAAGGATAACCGCGCAACAGTGGCGGCGGAAGCGGTTCGAAAAAGCGCGCGGCGTGCCGGCCGCCATGTTGCTCTGTCCAGAGAGTTTTTGGGATTCGCGCCCGTTATAATCCGATATAGCGCGTTTTCTGTTGTTTAACGCGTCCTGTGCCACGTGTACCACACATGGTGCACGCGGATTTTTGTAGGAGAATATTTTTAAGGGACACATGGTCAAGAATATCGGTGTACGTTATAAAGCACCGAAAACAAAGAAACAATATAATATACGAACACTACCAGAAACTTGAATATAACTTAATATTTCATTTAAAAAATTAATACATAAGCAAAATTTCATCGAAATTTCCGTGGCACGGATCGTGTTAATGAATTCATTGAATTTCATGTGACTAGCCTTGAGGCTATCACTTTGAAGTTTCGCCTGAAGAGAATGTTTATTGTTTTATTTCATTTTAGTCGACAGAAATTCAATTTAATGTTTAAATATCAATATTTGCGTGGTTACGTGAGAACCAAGGAGAAATGTATCAAGCCACCCTCCTAATTAGTAATCGCAGAGATATATTTTTATATATAGAGATTTCTATATAAATATTCGTCACTCTCTTTGCCAAATAATTTGTTTATTGGCCATTATAGGTTCTTCGGCTATTTAATGTTAAAGTTAAGCCTAAATTCCACAAATAGTTGCGCGAACTTATATCGTGGAAAGGGGAGGAAAGAAACTCATCGGATCCAGTCCTTATTAAGTTATTAAGCTCCCCTCTTTGCGGCGTAATTATTTCCACGAGAGTACTTTAAGGACCAATTAGAAGTTGAAGGGATTTCGAGTAAGTAAAAATGGCGACGGTCGGTAGATTTGGTCCGGTGAACGATCGAAGTTCGAACGTAATAAAGAAAGTACACGCCGGGAATCGAATCCCCCGAAATTCCGGCGAAAGGTAGCCGATCGTCCGATCATTCAGCTGGCCAATCATTCGTTAAATGGAGCCTGCGGCGAGTATTGCCGAACATTTTTCCTCTCGTTGCTGTGTTTCTTTCATCGACATTTGCATGTATTGTACCCGGTAGATTTCGTTGTTTGTATCGCGATCCTCTTGAAGTTATTCAACCACGGACGAATTAATACTTTGCACTCTAGAGGTGACCGCCATTTAACACGTTGGCCGCCACGTCGGTCACCGATGACTGGAGCTTTCAAATTACTTGACAATAATTATAATTTGTCAGATAATGTCGAATGAAAGTATTTCATAACGTAATAAGTAACTGTTCCTCATTACCTTTGCTACAAAAGAATAAGCGATACATAAAACTCTGGAGGTTTTCGTGGCAGTCAACCTGTTAATCTAACGAAATGACAAAATTCGATTGTCAATTTTAAATTTGATATAATGTAACTAGACATGGACTATCGCAATGAAATAAGTAAATAATTCTATCCTTGGATTCTTATGTTTTATTTAATTTGCTGAAGAGTTCAATCGATGTTTCGTGAAAAAATTATGGATGTATCTAGCGAAAAACTTTGGAGTGAAAAGGGTTAAATCGTCCCCGTATTTCATACTCTATCCGCGATTCTTTTCGTTCAACTGGCTCTCCCAAGGGATCGTTTCGTCATCATCGTTTTTTATTTTCGACCGTTCCGCTGCTTCGAGATTTTTCCCCGATTTTCTATTTCAGCCTGCCAGACTATGGAGTTCAATGAACGCGCGGCTAGGAAATGGGGATTGTTTAAATAAATCATTTATGTTCGAGCGCGCGCAAAACGGCCGCAAATACTGCGCATACGAGCCGAAGCAGCGGCCGCTGTCGGGAATTTTCGGCAAACCGTGGAATTGATTGCAGAGCACACGGACTAATAGATTTTAACGTTTGAGATTTATATCGATCGCGCGTGCATTTGCTGTTTTCTTTGGAGAACTTCGATTTTTCAACAGAATCAGCTTCCGTGGACAATGCTCTGAACGTTAAGGCTATTCGTAAAAGGCTCAGTTTCTTCTCAACACATCTCTGCATTCACAAATTGTTGTGTCAACAATTATTCCACAGATCCATGACATCGTATCTTACAATCTATCGCTAAGTAAATTATAAGACAAAAACCTCAGTACTTCAGGATACAGATTTCCTTTTTCGTTTCTTGAAATTCCGCGAGTAAAGCTACACGAATGGCAAATTCATGCCAATTTATACACAGGGAATATCGATTGCTATAAATCCGAACCTCCCCGCGCAGTGATGTTAAACGTCGGAAAATTACCGATCACCGTACGTTCGTCGCGCGAGATAACCGTCAAAAAAGTTCTGTTTGCAATGTTAGTTCTCGCGACACGACCGCCGAGCACACGAAGCCTTTAATCGAGTTTCACGGTCGTGTAATACTGGTTAACGTATTTAATCATTTTTTTTTGCGTCTACCACCTTTTCCTGGCGCGGCGGCGAGGGCGAAACTCGCGCGTCTTCGGTCACCAGGGAGAAACGAATCACAATTTCCGTCCGAAGTTCAGAAATGTAATTTCGGCCCTCGCCTGTTCCATTTTTTTTTGCCGTTTCGTTCGACAATTTTCCCGTTTCCTTTCCTGACTCTTCGGAGTCTAGAATTAAAGATGAGACTGCCACGGATTCGAACCGCGTAGACGCGTCAGACTCGTGAGGAAGTTGTCAAATGAAAGTTACAAAAATCAAATGTTACTCAATTAATACGGGTTGAAATTAAATACTATTTTCTTATTATTAGTTGTTATGCTCTGAGGTGAAGGTGGGTACAACTGAATTGGGAATTTTACTTTGTTTTTTGGTAAATTATTAAAGATAAAGTTATTCTAGCGAGCTCAGTTATGAAAGATATAACAGGGCAAAGGGTTAATCAGAGCCTTATTCTTGGAACGGGGGAATCGAGTTCGTGCCACGTTTTCCGGAATGTTTGCGTAACCCGTGATACAGGTCTTGATAGGTAGATTTTATGCATTTATGATCATTAGAAACTTAAACTTGGAGAAGTCCTATGAGACTTCTGTTTTATTTTGTACTCGATAGAATGTTTGATATCTTAACGAAACGGATGTTATTTTCGTTTCATTTTGAATGTTACAGTTCCAAACCTTTCCCTTAATCACCTCGTTGTTCTTTAATTCAATTTCACTTAAAATTTTGTTTCAAATGTACAACGTTTGCAAGAAGTGGAAAGAGCGAATTATGATCAGAGACGGGCAGATTATAAATGGTATCACGTCGAGAACTAAGTATTACACAAAAAAAAATGTTACTCAATATTTCCCACTCATTTTTTTAATAGAGAATAATTCTCTCCGAGGCTGCAACGTTTTAGAAATACCCTGTAACGTGCACACCTTTTCCTCTCTCTCTTTCCCAGCGTGAACACTATAAACGATGCGATATTTCACCGTCCACTCTCTATAAAGATTCATCATATTTTGCGGAACGCTCCGCGAGGAAAGCGGAATAAGAAAGGCAAGCGGGCGAATACATTTTGTACACACGGTACGCGTTAAATGGGTCTAAATTAGTAGCAGGAGACCCTCCGTCACCAATTTGTCTTCTCGCGGCAGCAGAATTGAGTTACGCTTCTTTTTCCCCCTTATTTATCTTCGGTTAGCCGAGACTCCTCGGGTTAGCTACCCACACCGATGCGTTTTCCTCTCAAAGAATGGCCACAAGGTGGCAAACTTGCTTCGAAAATTCGTGTGTCGTTCCAGACTCGTTTGGTCACCGTTTTGATGAGTTGGCCGGTGTCTACGGCAGAAAGTGTCCGCGTCTGGTAAACAGATGGTTCAACTTCAGACCCTGGAATCGTGGATTTTCCTCACAGATGTTTGGAGATTGCTCCAGCTAACAAGGGGGTCGTAACCCGGCCGAGGGAATTTTCAAGCAACTCGACTTCTAGGGTCGGGTTAACATAAACACAAGATCATGCAAAGATACATAAGCTATATAGTTAGACAGAGGTTCCTTGAAACATTTTCGTCGCTGCGTTACTAAGTAATTCATTACGCACTTTTAGTGATTTTCTTATCGTAGTTTCGCTGCACTCGACGGTACATTTGAAACATTCAACATTTTCCGATGAAACATAGGCGACATTCTTTGAAACTAACGAGGACACGTATAAACACATTTAAAACTCTCGTACACTTTAATCTAACATTTAATGACACTTCCATCTCCTTTTCAATCACACAAAGTCTGTTGTATACAACAATTCAAGGAAAATTGAACGAAATCCTTTCGTTCGCTTTTCGTAGCAACCGCCAACAAGGCGGGCGAATTGTTACTCGGAAAATTAACTTAAAAGGATTGATGCTCGCGTAAATGTCCACAGTGTAGTCGAAATGTTTAAAAGACAATAGATTTTTTAAAAATTGTTCACTGGTCCGCTTTCAGCGTAATGGGAAAAAGATAATGTGATCGGAGACACATGCCCGCGGCGGTTCTCTAATATTTATGACACGGTGCCCGGGTATCGAGTGCTCTACATTATTTTCAATTCACTTAGGAACGCGTTCAGCCAGTCACCGAGCCTCGTTAATAACACTTTTTTCGTAACGGCGCGGCGACGGCGACGGCGACGCCGACGAAAGTTCGCGTTCCCCGTTTCTTGTCGTTCGTTCGTTCGGCGGACAGGTTGATGCTGCCGGCGAGCTTTCAGGCAGAATTAAAAAGCAGTTACCGTGGTACCGTGTGTGTACACGCATTTTCCTTTCATCCTGGCCGAAAAAACCAGTCGGCTGTCTCGCACGCCGGAAAACATTGTTGGCGGCGGGTATTGTGCGCAACTAGCGCGTGCCGTTCGAAGGAGAGAATATTAATTACAAAGCAGCGCTATTTGTGCATAATTAACGGGACGAAACAGCCTCGAAACACACGCAACTGGTA